CGATATAGAATAATCATCCAGGGATAGAAATGCTGAGTTAAAGATTATGTTCATTTAAATGTATGCAAATCTTGCCAAATTATCTTCCAAAATGGCTGTACCCGTTTATACTGTCACCAAAAACATACAAGGCCTATTTTCCTGTATCCTCTTATCAAAGTATGGACTTTTATCAATCAGATTCGTACAAGATATCTCATAATAGTTTGTTTGCATTTTTGTTTTGAGGGAATTATTATGAGGACTGTCCCCTCCTCTGATCTACATGGGCAACTCTATCATCTATGGGGAAAGCAGCAAAGAGAGCATAAGGCTATCATCATCGTTTGAAGAAATTCTTTCAAGACTCACTGGAACAAGTCACTTAGTCTTCCATATTTCAAAAGAGCCAGGGGAGCTTGAACTGGCTTCAAACATAATGTTACTGTGCTTAACTCCTCTTTGACTTTTTTTTAAATTTCCCATTTTCACCATTTTTTAAAAGATTTTTATTCTTATTTATTCATGAGAGACACAGAGAAATAGAGAGGCAGAGAATAGGCAGAGGGAGAAGCAGGTTCCAAGCAGGGAGCCTAATGCGGGACTTGATCCGGGGACTCTAGGATCATGCCCTGAGCCAAAGGCAGATGCTCAACCGCTGAGCCACCCAGGTGTCCCCTCTTTGAGTTCTTCTTAATGTCCAATTATGATCACATATATATGTCAATTAGCAAAATTATGGCAAGTACTATTTCAGCCACCCTGGATGCAGAAAGATACACATCCTAGCTACAGAAAAACACAACTAGAGCAGATGCTAACTCATACTGAGTGCTATGTGCATACAATGTATGCCTTATTTAACCCTCACAATGATTTTATAGGATACTTTTATTATCCCATTTTTTTTTAACAGCTAGGGAAACTGAGAAATAAGGTTGAGTAACTTGCCCAAGTTTGCAGGGCTTGTGTGCTGTATAGCTGGTATTCAAATCCAGGAGGTGACTCTGGAGCCAAAGCTTTTGACCACTACTAGATCATACCACCTGTGCCAAGTGGGTGTGAGTTGGGAGAAAAAGCACATGGATGCATGAGAGAAGAACAATGCCTTTGAGTGTGTGAGCTGAACTCTTGCTGAACTGGCAAGTGGCAAAGGAGCAGAGGCAGGTAACCAAGAAATGGTCTTTTCTCTGGGTGCCGACAGTAGTGGACATTTAGATGTGCAAGGCTTTAAAAAATGTGTCGAAACTTCCTGCTCTTTACTAAATACCAGAAAAAAACTTGTCTGACTTCAAGTACCTTTTTTTTTAAAGATTTATTTATTTTTATTTATGATAGACACACAGAGAGAAAGAGGCAGAGACACAGGAGGAGAAGCAGGCTCCATGCTGGGAGCCCGACGTGGGAGCTCGACGTGGGACTCAATCCGGGGACTCCAGGACCGCGCCCTGGGCCAAAGGCAGGCGCCAAACCGCTGAGCCACCCAGGGATCCCCTGACTTCAAGTATCTTAAATACTTCTCAATTTGGACACTTAAATACATTAACAGAAAATGATAGTTGCAAGTAAATATAATTTTTAGTGACAGATATCAGTTCTAGGGACTTAAAAAGTGAGCTTAAGAATCATTTGAGGTGCTAACAAAACTGTCCACATGTAAGTGACAAGCCCAAACCACTTACTCCGCTAAACAAGCTACTTTTAGTAAATGCATTCTTCCCACCTCCACTGCAGTCCAAGAGCTGGGGCAGGGTAGTATGGGGGCTTGTGGCTGAAGCTGGAGTGCCACACTGGAAAAAATCAAAACAATAAGATAACTTATCCATCCTGAAGATTTCAAAAAACACATCTGAAAGTAAACAGGGTCAAATCATGATTAAGCAGCTTTCATTAAAGAAGCCTGGGTTTAATTAGGTTCTACAACTTTAAGGTATTTTACATTTACCTAGTGCCTTACAGGTGCATTGCACGCAGGTCTCAGATTGGAAAAGAAATTTTAAAAACCCTTCATAGGGAAAATAAAGAGCACTTGCACCGTATTGTTCATACCACAATTATTGCACCCAAATGACCTCCAGTCTTATCCGCTACTACAATCCATTTTCCACATATCAACCAGAACAATATTTTAAAACAAAAGTCAGATCCTCTCTCTTTGGTAAGACCTCTTCAGTGGCTTAAGGTAAGTTCTAAACATTTAATGTACCTACAAGGCACTGTAAAGTCCCATGCAATATTTGAGACATACTGATGCTAAAATTTATCTGACACTTCAGTTTAACTGGGTGTCCTGTATTTTGTTTGTCAAGCCTACACTCAGGAGATCCTCTACCATAATTTTATTTTTATTTTTTTAAGATTTATTTTATTTACTCAGAGAAAGAGAGAGAGAGAGAAAGGCAGAGACACAGGCAGAGGGAGAAGCAGGCTCCATGCAGGAAGCCCAATGTGGGACTCTATCCCAGGTCTCCAGGATCACACCCCAGGCTGCAGGAGGCGCCAAACAGCTGCGCCACCGGGGCTGCCCCATAATAATTTTTTAAATGTGGCAAGTGGTTCTTTGTTTTCCCCAATACAGGGTCAGCTCTGCCAGGGAAGGACCCATGCAGCTTAAGATTTTTTTTTTTTAAGTAAGCTCTACATCTCACCTGGAGCTGGAACTAACAACCCCCAGGATCAAGAGTCTTATGTTCTATGGACTGAGCCAGCCAGGCACCCCAGGACCTATGCTGCCTTGATCACTGTCTCATATCGGGCATGGCAGATATTCCACAAATATAGAGAAGTAGAGCTATCTGAACAGAGCCCAGGCACCCTTGGTTGGGAGTTAACTCTACAGACACTAGCCTCACATCCACAGGTGAATAAAATGATCATCTTACTTTTTCAGAGTATCTCCAGGGTGGTAATATTGACTTCTCAACAAAGGCTTTAAGGTAACCCCCCCAGGTTTCATATTAAGGACTTTGAGCTTTCAACATATTTCATTTGACCTTAAGGCAAATATTAATGAGGTACAGAGACTCAGAGAAGGTGAACAGCTTAGTCCATGATGACCAATGAATGGGAATAACAATTCTGACCCTAGGAGGGACTTTGTGCTCTTTCCACTGTACCCCATGGCCATCTGGGCTGATAAGAATCAGAATTTCTAGGTCCTTCCTCCTCATCCAGAAAGGTTCTCAAGGAAAAACTCTGACATCTGACCACTCTGCACAGGTTTCACTGCTCATCCCATAATGGTTCCCCCACAACAGCTTGAGGAGACAGCAAGTTTTGGCACCTGTATTTTGAACGACAGGTGGTTCTCAGCTTATCAAGTTACAAATGACGCTATTTAGGTCTAGAGACTAAAGACTTTGCTCAGGGTTACAGGGAAACAGGAATAAAACTGACCAGAACCCCAAATCCTTCTGTCTCTTTTCTGCATCCCTAAGAAACAACACCCCACACTCAACGAAATTTCTGACATTTGTCAGGTTTCTTCTTAAATGAGGTGGGAATGGCTGAAGCTGCTCTTGGGACGCCTAGCAGCCTCACCTGGATACCTCTGGAAAGTTCATCAGGCTGAGGGGGTCTGTGGGTTTCCTGCCACTGAGACCTCCCCAGAAGGCTGACCAGATGCTACTGTGCCCCTTTTCCCAAGAGCTGGGGCCCCTTAGGGAGACTGACTTCAGGCTTAGGACTCCAGCCTCTCCCAGGACAGGACGCTAGGTTCTAAACCATCAGTGCCCTGAGGAAACTGCCACGTTCAGCCCCCAGCCCCGTTTCTCCCGCCTGGGCGCCTCCAGCTCCAGCTCCAGCTCCACTTTTGTGCGCTTCTGAAGGTGCAGACCCCGAGAGCAGGGAATAATAACCAGGGAAGGTGGAGCCGCCAGGGCAGAGGGCTGGGAGCTAACAACCTAAACGGAAGAGGCCGCGAGGAATTCGATCAGGCTAGCAATGCAACCCTCGAACTACGTCACGTCCTTAACCGCTCCAGCTCCCCGGGGTTGGGGAGGCAGGTGTGCAGCAAGCGCTGCGGGAGTGCGGGCGCGCTCCTGACGTTCGCCGGGGTGGGGGGTGGGGGTGTCTCCCGCCTGGTTTCCAGCGCAAGTGCCTGCCTGGCGGCTGGACTAGCCCCCAGACACGCAGCGCAGAAGAACCTGTGGAGGCTCTGCTCCCCGAAACCAGCGCGGGGAGGGAGGGGTACCGGATCCTGGGGGCCTGCCTAAAAGGATTACAAACGCAGTGGAATGAGAATTACTGCTCGGGCAGCCCCGCTGGCTCAGCGGTTTAGCGCCGCCTGCAGCCAGTGCGTGATCCTGGGGACCTGGGATCGAGTCCCAAGTCGGGCTCCCTGCATGGAGCCTGCTTCTCCCTCTGCCTGGGTCTCTGCCTCTCTCTCTCTGTCTCTCATGAATAAATAAAATCTTAAAAAAAAAATTCTCTCTCCCCGTTCTTCTGCCCTTTCTCCCCACACTTGCACTTTCTCTCTAAATATTAACTGATCTATAAAAAAAAATAGAATTATTGCCTCGGAGGGTCACCAAGGAAAACCTCCCGCGCCGACAGATTTCTGGTTGGAAACTGACCTTGAATTACGGATTATAGTCGGCCTGAGGGGCGCCCTGGCGCCCGGCCCCGCCCACGACGGTATCTCTCTCGGGGGGGGGGGGGGAGGGCTCGCTCCGCCCGGCCGCCGCCCCACCCCCACCCCGTGGCGCGCGCAGCTCCCGCCGCCTCCCCGCTGCGTTACCCGGGTAACGCGGGACGCGCGCGGAACCCGCGGGGCAGAGCGGGTGAGCTGGGCCGGCCGTGGCTCCGCCTCTCCCTTGCCAGCGGCGCGGGCTACCGGCTGCCAGGCGCTCGCTCCGAAGCGGTTCTTTAGCCGGGAAAGCGCGGCCGCGTGCCGCTGGGCGATCGTCCAGTGAGGAGCCGGGGGTGTGGTAGGGGGAAGGCGCCGCCGAGTACTTAGGGCCTCGCCCGCGGGCCGGCCAGCCCACTTCGTCCTCCCCGGTGTGCGGCCACCGGGCGGCAGCATGGTGACCCCTTGCCCCAGCAGCCTCGTGAGCCCCGCCGCCCGGGCTGGGAAGCAGGACAACGACCAGAACCTCCGCGCCCCGGTGAAGAAGAGCAGGCGCCCACGCCTCCGCAGAAAGCAGCCGCTGCAGCCGCTGCAGCCGTGCCCGCTCCCCGGAGACTCCGGTGTTTGCGACCTGTTCGAGTCCCCCAGCTCCGGGTCTGACGGTGCAGAGAGCCCCGCCGCGTCCGCGGCGCTGGGCTGCAGCCCCCTGCCCCCTCCTGCCCAGGAGGCGGTGCAGCTCGACCTGCAGACCTTCCGGGACTACGGCCGGAGCTGCTACGTCTTCCGCAAGGCGCGGGAGAGCCACTTCCACCCGCGGGAGTCGCTGGCGCGGCAGCCGCAAGTGAGGCGCTGGGAGAGCGAGCTTCCCACGGCGCTCCTCCTCCCTCGGGCTCTTGCCTCCTCCGTCCGTCTGCCCCCCCACGCGCCCCGGGGCACGGAGGTTCGCGGTCCGAGCGGGGAGGGCCTCGGGGGGGGGGGCGGGCCACCAGCCACATTTTACCAACGGAGAACAGTGAGGCCTAGACGGCTTAAGGCAGCTGCCCGAGGTGCCCGTGCTGGTTAGCGGGAACTCGGTAGAAGGCGGAGGAGTTGAGTCCGTACTCCTCCCGCCCCCGGGCAAGTTTATTTAACAATTCTGGGCTTATTTCTGCAGCTGCGAGGCGGTGGCCCTCTCCCCTCCTTGAATTGCCGAGAGGATTACGCGAGGTAACGTGTATACACACGCGGCGCAGGGCCAGGTACGAGCCCGACCACCGCTTTGGGCGCAGCAGCGCGGTCCCAGTGTTTCCCAGTTTGCAGCACACTGAGGTTTTTCTTTTTTGTCCCGTCCCCCAGGGAAGCTCCCTGAGTTTTCTTGACTGGTTCCTTCTTCGGGCCCTCTTGGCCCTAAGCTCAAAGGGCCCTCCTCCCATGCCCCCCCGGCAGGTAACGGCAGAGTCCCGCTGTAAGCTGCTCAGCTGGCTGATCCCCGTGCACCGCCAATTCCGCCTCTCCTTCGAATCGCTCTGCCTGACGGTGAACACTCTGGACCGCTTTCTTACCACCACGCCTGTGGCTGCCGACTGCTTCCAGCTGCTTGGGGTCACATCCCTGCTCATCGCGTGCAAACAGGTACCTCCACCAGGCGGGGTCTAGGGTACAGCCAGACTCTCGGCCACTCTCTGGCCACTACCCGGCTTTCCAGCGCACAAGATGTAGCTCTGGCCTCTCTGAATTCCTTTTGTCACACGTTTGCATATACCCCACAGCTTTAATTTCACGATGATTCCCCCACAAACTGAACAGCCAACGCTTTCATCGGGCCCCTAAAGAAATAGGCTGCAGTCCCCAAAGTAAATCCCAATAGCTCTTTGTAGCCATGCTATTCTAGACTCCGGAAAAAGAATATATTTAAAATTTCTCAAACCTTTTTTTAGCTGGACAGTAGTTAGAGAAACCGCGCTGGAAGTACGCCCCAGGTGATTAAAGTGGAAGTGACCGAGAGGCGAAGGCCCAGCTGTCTCGCTGGAAGGGATGGGGGGAGTCCTGGTTTTCTCCCGGGTTTGAAACTGGGATGGGCCTCGGCCCTGGATGCTGTGCTGCGGGGGCTGAGTGCCCCTGTGTTACAGGTGGAGGTGCACCCGCCGCGCGTGAAGCAGCTCCTGGCCCTGTGCTGCGGTGCCTTCTCCCGGCAGCAACTCTGCAACCTCGAGTGCATCGTGCTACACAAACTGCACTTCAGCCTGGGCGCGCCAACCATCAGCTTCTTCCTGGAACATTTCACGCACGCGCGTGTGGAGGCGGGGCAGGCTGAGGTCTCGGAAGCCCTGGAGGCGCAAGCCCTGGCGCGCGGGGTGGCGGAGCTGAGCCTGGCCGACTACGCCTTCACCAGCTACACTCCCTCGCTGCTGGCCATCTGCTGCCTGGCGCTGGCTGACCGTATGCTCCAGCTCCCGCGCCCCGTGGACCTGCGCCTAGGCGGGCACCCAGAGGCCGCACTGCAGGACTGCCTGGGCAAGCTGCAGCTTCTGGTGGCCATAAACGAAACCTCCCTGACTCACATGCTGCCCTTCCAGATACGAGAGAAGTGCAGACTGTCCCCGAAGTTGAAATGAAACAGACCTTTGGTTTCCTGTCTACCCTGCCCCGGCTGCTGGACCTTTCCCATTACTGTGAAAGAGTGCAGTCTCGATTCATGGCTCCCACTTGGTCAGGAGGTCATCCTGAAGGTTGTAAATAGTGTATGATAGTAGCGTCTCCCCCTTTATTTATTTTGCTACGAGCACATGAGGGACCCGAGTCTTTCCCCAATAAACAGGCTGTCTTCGTTCGTCTGAATGCTACTATTGCCTGTGTTATCTGTGGGGAGGAAGGTGAAGGCAGCTGGGGAATAGAGGTAGTAACAACCCAGGGGTCCTGCCTTCCTCCCTTCCACTCTGTAGTTAGGATACCTATGGGGAATCCCAGGTCCTTTGAGATGACAGTCACTAATAGGGTCAGTTGTAGACCTGTATTTTGTAACCCTGAGACTGAGGACTGCTCATTCCCAGAGGTCCAGAGGAAGGTGGGAAGTGAACCTGAATAGAACCCACAGCGGTTCAGGCTGTCTAGAGGGGCAGGGGGGGTGGGGCACAGAGGATGCCCAGCTGGGAAGCTTTGGGGACCACACATGCTGGCTGGCTAGGGCAAAACAAGACCTCTGACAGCTAACAGATGTTGGAAATGAAGGCTTTGCAGGCTGCTGCGGCCATTATAAATGGGGCCCATTTAACCTGCAATGACTTGGTTCAACAGCTCGCTTTTGTCTTACACCTGCTGCATGTGAGCCCAGGATAAAAATGCCATAGTAATAGCCATCATTGGGTGCTTAAATATACCAGGCACTGTGTTCAGCATTCATTATTACCCTCCAACAATTCTAGAGAGCGTATTCCATTTTTTTTCAGAGGAGGGCACTGGGCCACAGAGAGGGTAAACAATACTAGAGCAATCAGGATTTGAAGGCAGGTGATCAGAGCTCCACTGCTCAACTTCTCCCACTTACAGGTTTGTAAAAATGCTTAAAAAAAAAAAATCCTTGGGGATCCCTGGGTGGCGCAGTGGTTTGGCGCCTGCCTTTGGCCCAGGGCAGGATCCTGGAGACCCGGGATTGAATCCCACGTCGGGCTCCCTGCATGGAGCCTGCTTCTCCCGCTGCCTGTGTCTCTGCCTCTCTCTGTCTCTTGTGAATAAATAAAATCTTAAAAGAAAAATCCTTAGCGGACTCTACTGAGCACACAGGGCTCCATCTCACAGCCCTGAGATCATGACCCTTAGCTCAACCTCAGCCAAATCCAAGAGTCTAGACACTTAACAAACTGCACCGGCCAGGTGCCTCAGAGGTATGGGTTTAATGAGATGTTCCATATAAATCCCCCTGCACATATAGCAAATTTTCAAGTAATGAAGACTAGTGGCAGCCTGTACAATAATGGGGAGGAGATTACACAAAAACTTGATGAAGTAGAAGACAAATATAGGAAAACGTTAGCTATTGGAGGGGAACATACTGCTATTCATTGCACTGCTTTTCAAATTTTCTGTAAGATTTTTAAAAAGTTTTTTTGGGGAACAAAGTCATGTTCTACTACATTTATAATCAATTTAAATGTATGACAAATTTCCATTAATGAAAAGGCAAATGCAAACCAGATTGAGACTCTTCCTTGTATTTCTCTTCACAAGGCCCCCCCCCCCAGGTACTCTCCAGCATCTAGAGCATTTGCTCTGAGCCCCTCAGATCCCTTCTCTCCCCACATGTTAATGTGTTGAGTTCTCCAGGAACTTGCTTGCCTTTGGCTCAGGGATCCAGAAGTGGTGATCCTGAAGCTGTTTGAGGAAAAGCTGGTCTGGGATGATGAAAAGGAGGAGGAGGAAAAATATCATCTGAACTAAGTCCCAAAATATCTAGAGCCCTTTAAACCGACTGTTAAGGGTGAGAGTAGGGCCACTGGCTCTTTTACAAAAGAGTGATTTTGGGGAAAAGTTTCATCAGCATTCACTCCATCAGCCAGGATCAATATGGGTGAGTTGGTTCTAGAATCATCCAGATTAGGAGTCATATGCTCATGCTATTCCAGCTCTTTTTGCCACATTTTTATGTACAATGCCCCTATTTTTTTTACTACACTTTGGGACTCACTGATGAAAAATGAATATTCTGTAAAATCAGGGATGGTCGCGTGTATAGAGATCTCCCCAGAGAAGCATCCAGAGCTTCAGAGTAGGGAAGCTCTGAACTAAGCGCTCAACTCTGAACTAAGAGCTTCCCTACTACTTTTACAGACTGGAAAGATGGATAGGGATAGAGGACTGTCTAGTGACTAGGCTATACAGGAATCAGAAAAAAAGCCAAGAATAAGTTGTGGGAAGTCGGAGGTGCAGTTGAAAAGCCTCCTTAAAACATCAACAACATTAATTTATCCACACCAAGCACCAGCTGCATTACAAAAATCTCATTTTAATAGCACCTCTATTGAAGTGTTATGCTTTTCCTTAAAGAAAAAAAAAACCGATTTTATTTAAAAGTAATCACACCCAATGTAGGGCTGGAACTGACAACGCTAAGATCAGAGTCACATGCTCCACCAACTGAGCCAGCTAGGTGCCTCAGCGTTATGCTTTTTCCTCAAGATCTGGGGCTGACCTATCTGGTGGAGCCTAGGTCCAATCCTCAGGCACTCTGACCCTGAAGCCAAAGCACCTCGCCATCAGTGACACCACACCAGCTCTAGATGCCTGACCTTACCTCAGCCAGGTCCCCGCATTTATAGAGGAGTTAAAAAGTCTCTGAGCCTATACTAGCTCTACTGTTGCAGAACCATCTCCAACACTGCTAAGGGTGTCTTTATTAATCCACATAATAGGGAGAAATAAAAAAGGGATCATGCCAGTTTAAAAGAGGATTTTCATCGCTACTACTGGGTATGGGACACAAGGTTCCCAATAGCTTACCAAGATAATTTCAGATGTTCAATGTTGATGTAAGAGTGGTCTGACAGAGACGCCCTCACCCAGGGATTTAGAGATGCCCCTTCTTGGGAAAGGCCTGCGTCTTGGGAAGGGCAGCAAGGCCGGCTGGGAACCGGGGTGGCCAAATGCTGCGGTGGGCAGATGAGGTCTTGTGTGCGGGTGGGAGTCAGAAGGAGACTGGGATCTTAGGGGATTTGGGGTCGACCTGAATCTTCAGACGCCGCTTTTAAAGGCTGCACTCGGGCGTCGCTGCCCCGGAAAGTGCGGGGCCAGGGGGACCGGGTGCGGCTCTAGGCATCAGGCCAAGAGAAAGCGTGTCCTAGCCCGAGGGTCAAAACCAGAAGCGGCGCGCCCCCAGCCTTGGGGGAACGGTCTTCTGTAACCGCGGGCAGTTCTGGGGAGTCCTTGCTCCAATTCCACATCCGCATCAGATCTGGCGGTCAGATGCCAGAGGCCGGCTTCGACGAGTGTGCCTTATGGCTGGGGTGCGACGGGAATGAACCAGGGGTCGTTAACTTTTTCATGCCTGCTGTCCAAAAGCAGAGAGGCGGGACCCCGTGTTAGGGGCCGGTGGGGCTCGTCCCCCTCTTCTCCGCCTTCCTGCGGCGCGGCGCGGCCCGGGAGGCGGCGGCGCCAACGCTCTCCGAAAGGGCGCCCGCGGGCCCGGGCCCCGCGCTCGCCGCTCCCGGGGGAAGCGCCGTTGCCAGGTTGGGCTGAACGCCTCCGCCCGCGCGCAGATTGTCCGGGGCTGACGGCGCCACCTCCCGCGCTCCGGCGCGAGCCGCCCCGCCCGCGCGCCAGTCTTGCCTCGGGCCGGCCCTCCCTCCGCACCGCCACAGCCACCCCGGCCTCCGCCCGCCACGCGCAGCGCCGCCGAGAGCCGCCCGCTCCTCCAGCCGCGGCCACCGCGTCCGAATGAGCGGCGCCGGGAGGCGGGATGCAGTCGTGCCGGGGCGCCGCGGCCGGACGCCGAGCCTTCGACAGCATCTGCCCCAACAGGATGCTGGCGCCGCGGGGCCGGCCCTTCTGCAAGCCCGGGAAGCTGGAGAGGAAGGTGGGCGGCGGGCCGTGCCGGGCAGGGTCCGCACGCTCCGGGGCCCCAGGGCTGACCCAGGCCCACCGTTTCTGTGTCCGGCTAGTTCGCCCCTCCGCGGAAGTCCTTCCCTGGCGGCGGCGGCGGCGGCGGCCCAGCGTCTGTGTACGAGGACCCCCGGGGCGCGGAGCCCGCTGCGCTGCCAGGTGAGCCTGGTGGCTCCCGCACGGTGCCTGGGGTTCCCCGCGCCGGGGTGGGGGGAAGGGCCCGCGCGGCTCGGAAGAGCGTTGCTGCCCCGGGCCCCGACGTCGCGGCGGGGCTGGCAGCGGCGAGCCCCGGCGGAGAGACTCAGGGTCGGCCGCGCGCGCGCCCGGTTCTCCCCCGCAGCCCTCACCACCATAGACCTGCAGGACCTCGCCGACTGCTCCTCGCTACTCGGCTCCGACGCGCCCCCTAGCGGTGACTTGGCCGCCTCGCAGGTACCTCCCTTTCGCTCGAAGCCGGGCGGCCTCCGACAGCCCAGAGTCCCACTCCGGAGTCCAGGGTTCGCTTCCGCAAAGGCTCACTTGGGCGGGGAGCTCTGGCGCAGTTGGCTAGTGGGGGCAGACATCGTGCCGGAATCTCAGTCCCGAGGATCGGAACGTCTTCCTCCCGCCTAGTCCGCTGTGCCGGCATCCTCAGAGCTGTTTCTGACCCACCTGGAACAGAGGGGCCCACCTGGGGGGCTTCCCTCCAAGGAAGGGGTCTCCTGTTCTCGTCCCTGTCTATTCCCTGGAGCTGTGACAAGGAATCTGGAGATGCGCCCCGAGGAGCCAGGAGACTAGGTGGGAGCAAAGTTGAGCGCTGGGCACCTGGTACCTGTCCTGTCCATGCTCCCAGTAGTCCCTTCCCAGACACTTACTAACAATTTTCATTCCCTGGGTATCTAAGGAGTGTGAAGATTGAAGGATAACTACTCGATCAAGACTGGAAAAGATGAATAGAGTTTACATTTAGGGGAAGAGGAACAAAGGACAAAGAACTCTGGAAGAGTTCTGACAGCAAAAACGTTCCTCTTTGCAGAGATGGCTCTTGAGCAGTTGGGCATTAAAAAAAAAGTCATCCCCCCCCCCTCCAAAGGCTCATGTCACTTACCCTCATGGGGGCAAAGAGGTATTTGACTTTTTTTCCCCCCTTAAAAACCTATTTTCTTACTCCATCCCACTTCTCCCACTTGTCAGGGCTGACACTCCCCAGGTAGATGACCGAGCCCCTCAGCACTGGTGTCTGGGAGGCCAGAAGACTGCCTGGCTCATCCGAGGGATATGAAGTGTCCAGAAAGACAGGAGGCCTTAACCTGGCAGCAGGTCCTGGGGAGATGGGGTCCTGGGGGAAATGCCCAGCTCTGAACACTCCAGAAGATAAGACCACGCCCCAGAACTGAGGTTGGTGGTGGGACACAGCTTCCCAGGCACTCCCAAAATGCCTTTAGAATTGGATTAGAGCCCAGATGGACTCAGGGTAGGTGGCCAATGAGAGCAAAGATGGCTAAGGCCAGAGGTGAGAGTGGGCATTGCCCTGCAGAGGCCATTTTGTTTTTCTTTTTAGATCTGGATGTTCAGATAAGGAAAGACAATACCAGAGCATCTTTCAACTGACCCAGAGGCCCACTTACTCCATGTTTATTTTGCAAGTAATGAAAACCAAGCAGGCTCTTACTGAATTTTTGCTTAAGTATTCAGAACTTAAATTTCACATCTTGTTCTGTATTAGTCTTTTTTTTTTTTTTGGCTGCCATTGTAGTTTGGAAAAATGCCAGGTTTTTATCTAATTGGGGAGGTAGGATTCAAAGTTTCAAGCACAGAGTTCGTGCCAGATGGCCAAAGTGGCCGAGGACTTTTCCTGGGGGAGACAGAGCTGGTACAGACACCCCCTAGAGGAAGATCCCCTGGAAAACCATGGCCAGAGCACAGTCAGGTCAAATTTCCTAGCCTCCTTCCTGCTGGGTAAGGTGACCAGAGAGAGGAAACTCTCCAGAAGTATTTGACGTCCAAGATGAGCCAAGAACTTGGCATAGCATAGGAGGAAGCATTTCCTGGGCCCCATCTCGTGGTCAGGGTTTTGGCCAAATCTCTAGTAAGAAGAATCCTTCAGCCCTTGGAAAATGAGTCTGGTGTCTTGCTCCTTCAACCAGGACAGAACTTGTGCTTCAGGATTGGTCTCAGATCTTTCTAAGCACCTTTCCCTCTTATAGCCTCCGTTCCCAACTGATGCTTGAGGTCTCCCAGATTGAAGCACTCCTCCTGGAGGAAAGCTGATACTTGTACTTTCTTCAAGGTTAGGGTGAGAGTAAGTTCCTCTTCTTAGCAGTATTTGAATAGTAGGGAATGGCTTTGGGGTCATGAATATGATTAACACAAAGGAATCCATTAATAATAGTGGAATCAGTAGAGTAGATATTTCTGACACGCATTTTGGATGCATTCCCTCACACCCTGTGCCTTCTTTCCTTTTTCCCAGTGCTGTCTTCATTGGAAGGCAGGCTTTCCTTAAAAAAGGAGAAAAGCTGGAGGCTATGAGGCATGGAGGAAAGAAGACTGAAATAGTCACTATCATTTCAGGGCAGGAGCCCCAATTCTATTTCAGAGTTGGAGGACTTTGGGCAAATCCCTTCCTCTGTACTTCAGATTCTTCATCAGAGGGGGAGGAATCCCTTTCTGGGCCCTGCCTGCTTCCTACATTGTGCGAGAATTAACAGAGGGACTGCGCGAAGAGTGTTGTCAACTCTCAATGTGCGGGAAGGGAGGGAGTAAGAATGCGTCGGGGCTGCCAGCTGCCCAGGGTCTCCTGCCTCCCGCGCCGGGCCCACTGCTGGAACCCCGGGGAGTGTCCGGTTCGAGATGCGGGCGGTGCAGCACACCGGGCGGAGAAAGCAAACTCGGGCTTGTTGAGAGACCGAAGAGCGGTAGAGGCCCCGCTCGCCGCAAGCCGAACCGAAGCACGGCCCGTAGCATCCCGGACCCCTCGTCCTAGCCTAGCCTTTCCCTTCCTGTGCGGGGAGAAGGTGGGTGAGCTGTGAGGGGGGAGCCTTGGCGGCTCCCCCAAGTGCTTTGAGGCCTCAAGTTCCGCCTTTGGAGGCCCCCGCACCTGGCCCGCGGGGCTGGGGAGGAAAGGTGGAGTGTACGCGCACCGGCTCGCCTATCTTGGGCGTAGCTCCTCGGCGGGTCGGAGGTAAGTCGAACTGGAGGAACGGCTCGGGGCTCGCGGAGGCAGCGGGTCGGCAGGGGTCAGGGGGACTGTCCCCTGCCGGGGGCCGGGCGGGGGGCCACCGTGCTGCGCGGAACGGACTCTGGCCTCAAACGGCGCCGCGCAGCTTCAGCGCCCCCCAGGACCCTCGGGACCCGCTCGCCACCAGGGCAGTGCAGGCCTGCTGGGTTCCGAGCCTGGGATGGGGCCCCGATTTCCTGGTGGGAGCTCGGCGGCCCACGAGAGGGCCCCGGAGGGCCCCTGGCGGCCTGCAAGGGTTTCAGACCTGCGGGACTTGACCTAAACTAGTTCACGCCTCTGGTTTATTTCAGAACCATTGTCTGCCAACTGCAGAGGACTTCGATCTGCAGGAGTTCAGGGACACCGTGGATGACCTCATTGCAGGCAAGTGCCGGCTCCTTGCAGTTTAAATGAAGGAGGCGGGGTGTCTCCCACTCCGCAAATCACACTAGCTCAGATTTCGATTTCGTGGTCGCGCAGGTGGTCAACCCGACACCTGCCAACGTCGTCAGTAACTCGTCAATGGGTCGGGCTCCTTCATATTTATGAGACAACACCCTTTCTAATGGAGCAGATGAATCGCTGAATCTATATAGCTCTTTCTCAGTTTATCGGTTTGAGTTCTGGGAGAGGGAGCCCTACCCTGTGATGTGGCCAAGGAGAGGTTGGCTGGCAGGAGTGCACAGCACAGCGGACCTGTGTGACTTGAGGCAGGTTTGACCTGGCCCCCGCCGAGGCTGAATTCAGATAAACTCAATAGGCATATATGGAGCGCCTTGCTGTGTATGGAGAAGATACCAGAAAGGGCCTGGGGACGGTGGGGATTGCAAAGTGAGGGGTGCTTTACTTTCACAACATCTTCACATAAACCCTACACCTGGCGTGGCGCTTTGTCCCTGTAGCTTGCTGGGCACGAGTCTGAGGCTGCAAACCCAGCTCCCGCTCTTCCTCAGACTCATCCTCTTTGATGTCGCCTCCTCTGGCCGGCGGAGACTTCCCCTTCTCTCCTTGCGACGTATTGCCATTTGGGCCCTGTCTCTCTCCGCCGCTGGACCCAAGGGCCCTGCAGTCACCGCCGCTGCGCCCTCCGGACCCGCCCCCGCCGGAGCAGTACTGGAAGGAGGTGGCCGACCAGAACCAGAGGGCGCTGGGGGACGCGCTCGTTGAGAATAACCAAGTAGGGGCACTGGGCTGGCCGCCAGGAATCCCGGGTTGGGGACTGGGTATGGGGCCCAGGGCGGAAATGGGGGTTGCAGGAGGGGGAATGTGCCCCTGTGTAAGTCAGAACCAGTGGACGGGCCAGTGCTTCACGCAGCTGCTATGGCTCTAGTGGCTCTCCTCAGTTTCCAACCTCAGTAAGCGGGAATAATCCTACCTACCAGATTTTCCCAATATTTACTGAAGGCTTCTTATGTGCCTGGTATTGTGCTTATCAATTTACTTTTTCTTCTCATTTAATACTTACAACCACTGAACAAGAAGATACCGTTACTAGCCCCATTTTACAGGTTGGGAAACTGAGGCCCAGGAAGATGGAACTTCAGAGGCAGAGCCTGTATCTGCTTGTTGCCCAAGTCCGTACTCTTCACCACCACGCTACACTGAGGATTGAGATACATTTTGTCCAAGTGCTTTGTAAAAACAAAGGTCAAATAAACAAAAGTGATTATTACTCTCACCATGCGAATGGCTTTGGGTCCCCAGTTCCAGGTTAGAGGTTAGGATCCTGGTATAATTCACGCAGAGTATACAGATGAGACCGACCACGGTGGCCTACGTCCTAGTGTTTGGGTCTCCTCCTGCAGCTGCACGTGACGCTGACCCAGAAACAGGAGGAGATCGCCTCGCTCAAAGAGCGGAACGTGAAACTGAAGGAACTTGCCAGTCGGACCCGACACCTGGCCTCGGTGCTGGATGTAAGTGGGGTGCTGGCGTGTGGGACGCTGCGGGACGTCGGCAGTGTTCCCGGGCAGCCCCCACCCTGTCCCCAGTACGGGCCGCGGCGGGCCGCGGAGGAGGGCGCGGGCGGCTGGGGCTCGCTGAGCGGCTGGCAGCCCGCGTCTAAGTCCGCGGAGTTCCACGAGCGCGCGCGGCCGCTTTGCGCGCCCAGCGCCGGGGTGGGGTGGGGTGGGGTGGGGCGGGGGGGTCCGGCTGGCCCCACTTGGCGCTCCTCCGCATCGTTTGCAGAAGCTGATGATCACGCAGTCCCGGGATCGCGGAGCGACGGCCGAGCCCTTCCTGCTCAGGGCGACAGCCAAAAGGAGCCTGGAGGAGTTGTTCAGCGCTGCGGGGCAGGACTGCGCGGAAGTGGACGCCATCCTGCGGGAGATTTCCGAGCGCTGCGACGAAGCGCTGCAGAGCCGCGACCCCAAGCGGCTCCGGCTGCAGCCCGAGCCGGCGAGCAGGGAAGGCGTCCCGGGGAACCTGCACGGCGCCTTCCGGGGGCTGCGCACCGACTGCAGCCGGAGCGCGCTCAACTTGAGCCACAGCGAGCTGCAAGAGGGCGGCTCCTTCACCACCCCCATCCGCAGCCACAGCACCATCCGCACCCTCGCCTTCCCCCAGGGCAACGCCTTCACCATCCGGACGGCCAGCGGGGGTTACAAATTCCGCTGGGTCCCGAGTTGAGCGGCGATGTGGTTCCCCAGAACGCTGCCCGCGATCCGGACTGAAGCGCCGGAGGCTAAGCGGGAGCTGCTGGAACCGCTTCCCGACCCCGGCTTCTCGGAAGGCCTCCCCCTGCTGGGCCATTGCCACCCTGACACTTTTTTCAGGAACAACAACAACAACAACAAAGTCCCGATAATGATGTACTGTAAAGTCCTGGTGTAAAATACTGTACACTTCCTCCCCTTTCACAGTGCGTGTGTACACATATAAATCTCGATCAATTTTAAAAGTCTGTCTTTAGCAGCTTTGAATTATGTTCTTTTAGAACTGGAATGGACTTAGAAATCACTTAGCCATTTTAGAATTATACAATGACCTAGTTTTATAAGAAGGAAAAGGAGGCTCTAAGAGATTAAGTGATTTTCTATAATAATCATTATTGGGAACTTCCGGTCTTTCTCACCAGTCATTTAAAAATTGTAGGCCAGAAACCAGGTTTCTGAGTGACTGTTTCATTACATCACTCAACTTCCCCTGGAAGGACCCTTAGTTTTCGTACTGTTGAAAAAAAAGATTTTTTTAAGACTTTTATTCAGTCTGGAAGAATAAAAAATTAGGAGAGATAGCCAAACACTTGCTTTAGGGCAATAGAGAAAAATGTAGATGCTCAGAGGCAATGGGCTATCCACAAAATAGGTGCTAAACATATTTGTATAATGATCATTCATATAATTTTGTAAGATTTATGGTATATGTTTATATAAAGTATATATAGTTTATATTTCTGAACAGAATAATCACAAAAAGCAAACTTTGTTGGTGAAAAACATGTTTTAAGAAAATGGCATATTTTACTGAAAAAGAATATATATATTTGTGTGTGTGTGTGTGTGTGTGTGTGTGTGTGTGGGCACGGACGCACGTGCACCAGAAACCAAGTGTGGAAATCTTGCTAAAGGTAAAACTGTCTCTTTGAATTCCATCGATAAAACGGGGGTGCACATTCATGTCTTATATTTCTAGGGTTGATCTATGAAAAACATATATGTTATATAGTGGCTTCACTTTAATGCTTTTCTATTTCCTTTTGTGTGGGGTGTCTTTTTCCACTCTGTTGTGAAATTATGTGACTGGCATATGTCAAGTAGTGATTTGTCCCACCCTTCCCACTTCTCAACATGAGGGCTGCTTCTTGCATTTGTGGCCTCAGCTTGGGCACATTTCCAAACCTGTTACACCACGTCCCTCATTCTGCCTTCTAAGTGGTGGTATCAGATAACAGGTGAGCTGGGCAGGGTTGCAGAACCTGTTCCTCCAGGTTGTCCTAGGTACTGTTATCTGTACTTAGAAACAAACAAACAAAAAGTGATAAAATAGACCACATTTCCTCATATTTTGTCCAACAAACGGACTCTTAAAAAGTACACTGGACAGCTCAAAATTCTTTTCATCGGCTTATGTATAAAGTTACTGCAGTTCAGGTTCAGAAAAAAACAAAACCAACAAGGACTCTTAACTTGCCCTGAGAACCCATCAGCAGAAAGACACTGACAAATAAGGAGCAGGGAGCCCGTCTCCTTTTTTCCCAGTACAAAGAGGAGGGAGACCTTTGGGTTAGTGCCGAATGTCAAGGGGTTGGTGCCTCAGTGAAATAACTCTCCTTCACTGATCTCAAAGCTGTGGGGGAAACAAAAAGTAGCTTCTTCTACTTACTCTGAACTCAGGACCTCCTGCAGTAGAAACTCCTGTAAAAACACAGGAGAGGGGCCCCTGGGTGGCTCAATCAGTTAAGTGTCTGTCTTCAGCTCAGGTCATGATCCGGATCCCAGGCTTCCTGCTCAGTAGGGGAGTCTGCTTCTCCCTCTCCCTCTGCTTCTCCCCTGCCCCCACTTGTGCTCTCTCTCTCTTGCTCACTCTGTCTCTTTCAAATAAATAAAATCTTAAAAGAAAAAAAATAACACCCAAGAGTCAAAAACCTTAGGATACTACTAACTTTGTTATTCTGTAGCTTCAAAATTTTTTCCTTTTCTTTTTTATTTTTAAAAAGATGTTATTTATTTATTCATGCAAGACACAGAGAGACAGAGAGGCAGAGACACAGGCAGAGGGAGAAGCAGTCTCCATGTAAGGAGCCCGATATGGGACTTGATCCCGGGTCTCCAGGATCACACCCTGGACCAAAAGTGATGCTAAACTGCTGAGCCACCCGGGCTGCCCTTTTCTTTTCTTTTCTTTTCTTTTTTTTTTTTTGGAGTTGCTTGCTTTTTGAGAAAATGATAAACCTTAGGCACTACAATAGCTTTAATTAACCATTAATTTTTGCAAATATTACTTTTATGCAATTGAATTTCATCAGCCTAGTGTAAATCTTAAATTTCAGTTAATTCCAAAAGCAATAATGTTATTGGTCAACTTTTAAAATATGACACAACATGGCTTTTGTTAACAGATGAATATGCTATTTGGTTTGACATACATATGGGTGGTAAATGCTCATCATCACACTGGAGGGGACTTGCATACTTGCTGCAAAATCAAAACCAGTTCATTTGGTGTGAATAAAAGGATATTTATAAAGCTATGACCAAAATTAAGGCATATTCTCCTTCTGAATATTAATAATGTTTGTATAAATATAATTTAAAAAAAACCCTGTGACGCCTCAGTGGCTCGGTGGTTGAGCATCTGCCTTTGGCCCAGGGTGTGACCCTAGAGTCCAGGATTGAGTCCTGTATTGGGCTCCTTGCAAGGAGCCTGCTTCTCCCTCTGCCTATGTCTCTGCCTCTCTCTCTGTGTCTGTCGTGAATAAATAAATAAAATATTTTAAAAATATTTTAAATTTATATCTTAAAATATATTATATATAAATATATATTATATAATTATAAGTTATAATCATATAATAATTATATATAGACATATTATATAAAATATATATCTTAAAAATATATTATACATTTAAATATATTTTTTATTATATATATTATATGTATATAATAAAAAAACTTACTGTTGCCTGGCTTTCACCATTCACTGTATTGAGGGGAGTGGATAGGAGGGAAGGAGATGTTTCCAAAGGTAACTAGGTTGAAACAGCTGTCATCCTCCCCATATCACTAGAGATCAGATTACATTAGATTAGATTTAGTGTCACTAGATATTAGAGTACATAGAGTAGAACAGAGAAGTGAATGAGAGAGATTATTTTTGTACAAACCAAAAATCAATCTTTCCCTAAATGTAGAAAATAAGCAAATCATCTATTCAAAAGCAACACACATACAGAGTTACTTCTAAAGATGAAGATTTGATATTTTTAAAAAAGATTTATTTTTATTTGAGAGAGAGAGAGAGAGAATAGCGGTGGGGGGTGCAGAGGGAGAGGGAGAGGGAAAGAGAGAATCTCAAGCAGACTCCTTGCTGAGGACCAGGAGCCTGATGTCATGATCTGAGCCCAAATCAAGAGGTGGACACTTACCCAACTGAGTGCCCCAGGTGCCAGGAAGGTTTCATCTTGTGTCTCCATCTTCCCTACCAATATTTAGATTTTCTAAAAAAATTTATAAGTGAGAAAATATAAAATAAGAGCATAAGACCTTAGGAAACAACAACAAAAGCCTGGTATAACTCATGTAAACTGAGCCTTGAAGATTGCATTGCATTTCTTTCATCTGTAATGACTGAACCAGGAAAGGAATTTAAGCAAGCATAAATGTGGATACCACATTCACTCTGATTTATTTATTTATATTAAAAATACATTTTTTCTTTTTATAACAGCATATATCATGCTGTATTATAACAGTAATACACATTTATCATAGAAATGAAAAATAAATCCAGCCATTTAATAATTCACTAACTTAACTAATATATACTGAATACTTACTGTGTACTAGGTATTGGGGGTACATTGGTAAATACAACAGGCGTTGTTCTGCCCCTTTGGAGCTTAGAAGCTAAGGAATGAAATAAACAATAATCTGCAAACACATTAATCTGTAATTTAAAATTGGATAGGTGTCTTGATGAAAACAGAGATCAGAGGTAGAGAATTAACAGTGGAGAATCCAGTTGCATAAGGGTACATGGGGAGTACTCTTTAGAGGAAGAAATTTTTAGTAGCAAATTTGGAATTTTATCAAAGCAATACACACACTCCTAAATAAAATAATAGAGAACTTATATAAAAGTAATGATCTGCCTATTGTCACTATACTCACCAGATGCAATCATTTTTTTTAAATCTTTTTTGACTATTTCCCTTGCTGGCTTCTGCTATATGCCTTGATCACTGGTTTTCAACATAGGTTCTCATTTGAGTCACCTGGGGAGGTTTGGAAACCAAATATGTGGGCCTTACCTGCAAAGATTCCACTTTAATTTGCTGTGACAGCATCAACATTTAATTCTGCTTCAGTTAAAGAAAATACTATTAAAGATTTTGATCTTTTGAAATCTACTGAGATTTAATGGCATGCTTATGTTCTAAATTGGTACATGAAACATAGGATTTGGGCAGCTCAGGTGGCTCAGCGTTTAGCGCTTCCTTTAGCCCAGGGCCTGATCCTGGAGACCCGAGATCAAGTCCCACATTGGGCTCCCTGCATGGAGCCTGCTCCTCCCTCTGCCTGTGTCTCTGCCTCTCTCTCTGTGTGTCTCTCATGAATAAATAAATACAATCTTTTTAAAAAAGAAATATAGGATTTGAAAAGAAAGTGTATTCTCAAGTTATTAAGTGTAGTGTACTTTAGATGTCAATTAGATTAAGGTAGTTGATATTTTTGTTTAGAGCATCTATATCCTTACTGATTTTTGCTTTTACTGTCTTATCAAATGCTACTAAAATCCTCAGTTGCAATTTTGAATTATTTATTTCTTCCTTTCATTATGTTAACTTTTGCTTCACATACTGTGAAGTTTATTAGGCGCATACATTTATAATAATTATGCATATTTTAAGGTATTGACCCTTCCTATTATTATGGAGTGTTTGTCTTTATCTATGGCCATATCCT